GTAGTCCCAGCTACTCAGAAGGATGAGGCAGGAGAATGGCTCAAACCTGGGAGGTAGAGGTTGCAATGAGTGGAGATTGTGCCACTGCGCTCTAGTCTGGGCGACAGCACGAGACTCTGTCTCAAAAAACAAAACACAAAAAACCGTATTTTATAACTGGTTTAATAAATGCAAATGTATTGATATTACGTATTAAGACTTTTCTGACCTAAAAGTTAATTTTTTTTTCTGATGTTAATAGAAATAAAAACATGTTCTAGGCACCGTGCCTGCAGAGCCTAATGGATAAGTTGGCCTTGCCTGGAGACTTCAGGCCCAAATGCACATTTATCTATGTGTGCCTCTCTTTCTTCAAATGTGTTTCCAGAGATTACAGAGGGCCTTCTTCTGAGGATTAATGTTGGGTTGACCTCTGGGATGCAGCCAAGGGATGCTTCTTTGGCCACTGTCTGGTATAAGAGGGCCTAGTGAAGAGGGAGCTACAGGCCGAAAAGTCCTCTGAAATGCCCAGGAAAGACCCTGTGCCCTACACTCAGTAAGCTGTGGACGAGCGTGGCTGCAGGTGGAAGGGTGGCGGAGGGGTCTTAGCTATGGATGTGGAATATAGTAAAAGTAGATTTGCTTTATGTGGGGCCTGGAGTCATTTCAGCATTGGGCTGTCAGCTTTCAGGCCTCGGGCTAAACTAGCCTGACTCCGGAACAGTGATTCCCACCCTAGGCCATTTTGCCTCTCAGGGGCCATTTGGCAATGAATGAAGACACATTTTTTTGTTCCAACCTGGGGAGAGTGGCACTGGTTTCTGTTGGGTAGAGGCCAGGAATCTAAGTACACAGGTTCGCCCCCTGCAGCAAAGAATGATCTGGCCAACTATTAGCAGTGCTGAGGTGGAGACCCCCATCCCAGAGGATGTTCCAGGCATTAGGTTTGGGTGAGCAGAGCCTTCCCAGAAGCTCCTGGGTAGGGCTACACGTGAGCTGCCTTAACCTTCTCCAACCAGGCAACATGTTATTGTAGCCGTAATAGAGACCGGCTGCCTTCACCCAAGCCACTTCCCAGAAGGGCACAGCCAGGTGTTTCTGAGCATCACAGACTTCATGTCCACAGAGTGGAGAGTTCCAGAAATGGTGGCAGGGTGCTGTCCCAGCAGACTCCCAGGGCTTGCGTCTTCTCTAACACCCTCTGAGCAGAATGCGGTGTGGAGGTCTCCAGACATCCTTCCTGCCTCTGTGGGTACAAAGCTGGGCAGGGTGTGGTGAGCAGGGTGATGTCAGCTACCAAGGGCTTGGGTGAGGGCGACTGGAGGTTCCCACTTCATTTTGTCTTTCTCATTTTGATCCTGAGTAGCTGGGATGGAGGCAAAGGCTCTTCTCTATGTTCTGATGCAGGGCAGGGTGGGAGTGGGGGGACTTTGTAGCCACTTTGCCCTCCTCCTATGTTTTTAGTCTGCAGAGGAAAGGGACAGGGAGCCTGAGATGGTCCCACCCAGGTCCGGGGACATGGAAGCCTGTCTGGGAAGGGCAGTGGGGCGGAGGCAGGGAGGCTGGGGATGAATTCGTGCGCCGTATGGGCGTCTGTGATGTGTTAGAGGTTTTCCCTGGCCTTTCTCTTTCACCATTTTGTTCCTGACCTCTGGGGTCCATCTGAAGAGGGAAGAGGGGCTCTCCTCCATGGTTGCTCCCCCCAACACCAACCATCTAGGAGGTTGTGGACCTGGTGGCACTGAAGAGATCTGTGCTGCATGATGGGGTCACTCAGTGTCCCTGTTGGGAACCTGGCAGGCAGCTGAGCGGGGGGACTCACTCAGCCTGCTTCTCTGGGCCCCTGGGTGTCTGCTGCTCTCCACGTGGAAGAGCACAGAGGCAGGGCAGGATAAATGAGGAAAGCTGTGGTCTAGTGGCTGGGTCTGATTAGACATGGTGGAGCAGGACTCCCACCCAGCCTGGAGGCACTCGCCAAATCCGTCTTTTCCTGCCAGTGGTGCCGGGCTGCCGGGCTGCTGGAACAATTTGATCTGTGCTGGCTTCATTTATGGCACAACCCAGGCTCCCCAGAGCCCCTGTGGGAATACCCATTCACGATAAAATAATTTTCCAGGTGTCAGAGGTTTATACATTTAAATATTTCAATTCTTTTTCTAAAGTCAACAATTTCGGATAAAAAGTCTTTACAAATGATGAATAGGTAAGATTTTAATTCCTTCCCCCTTTTGATGTCCCAAGACCATCATCATCAACATAATTCTTGTTTTGGGCTCTAATACATGGGCGTCCCCAGGGGTCATTGAGGGGTGCGGCATTCATTGTTTGCCATGCACAAAATGTACTCGGAGTTTGCGTGTTTGGTTTTCTTAGTGTCCTCCTTCCTCTCTGCCATTTGATCCTTCTTCCTACTGTCCACATGCATTCCTTCTTTTCTCCCTTTAATTTTGTTGACTTCCTTCTGCTGCAGCCTTGGAAACCAGACGTCCAGAAGCCAGGCTCCTGCAGCAGCATGGTTGTGAACTGTCAAGGTTCCTCACGGGATGATTCTCCCCTTATTTTGGGTGGAAAATGCCAACATTTAAACATGCCCAGCCATGGTGACAGCTATTAGGATGTTCAGAGCTTATTTTCCTTTGTTTCCCGGTTCTTGGTTGGGTTCCATGCTGCTGAAGTGGCAGATAACTGGGGCATTCATTATCAATCATCATCACTCAAGTAATAACCACGGGCAACATGGATATAGAATTTCTGTGCTCTGAGTCATCTTTTACTTAGTTTTTGAGACAGAGTCTTGCTCTGTTGACCAGGCTGGAGTACAATAGCAAGATCTCGGCTCACTGCAACCTCTGCTTCCAGGGTTCAAGCGATTGTCCTATTTCACTCTCCCAAGTAGCTGGGATTACAGGTGCACGCCACCATGCCCAGCTAACTTTTTGTTTTGTTGTTTTGAGACAGAGTCTTACTCTATTGCCACGCTGGAGTGCAATGGTGCAATCCCAGCTCACTCCAACCTCCACCTCCTGGGTTCAAGCAGTTCGCCTGCCTCAGCCTCCTAAGTAGCTAGGACCACAGGCGTGTGCCACCACGCCTGGCTAATTTTTATATTTTTATTAGGGACTGGGTTTCACTGTGTTAGCCAGGATGGTCTCAATCTCTTTATCTCGTGATCTGCCTGTCTCGGCCTCCCAAAATGCTGGGATTACAGGTGTGAGCCACCATACCTGGCCAATTTTTTGTATTTTTAGCAGAGGGGGTTTTACCATGTTGGCCAGGCTGGTCTCAAACTCCAGACCTCAAGTGATCCACCTGCCTCAGCCTCCCAAAGTGCTGGGATTACAGGCATGAGCCACCGTACCCAGCCTAAGTCGTCTTTTAACTGCTTTACATACTCTCAATGACGAAAGAACTGTTATTATCCAGCAACTTAGGTAGAGGCACAGAGATGGTCTGTGCAGCGGAGAACACGTGCACCTGATATAGCAAATGGCAGAACTGGGATTTAACCTGACTACACCCCCGTAATCAGTGCTGCTACCCTGGTGATGGCGTGCCGGCTTCTAAAGGATGCTGCCGGATAGCAAGTGAAAACTGACTAGTTATCAGGCTTGGAGGGAGGGAAGGGGACGGGACAAACCTCCACCAAATGTTCCGTATGCTGGGGCCTATGCTGGACATGCCCTGGCAGCAGGTGCTGCTGGAGTGCTAGCACCTGGTCCCATCCCTGTCATAGAAGAGGTGCCCCCTCCCTTAGTTGGTGAGTGAGTGAATAACCTTGTAGAGAATTACTTTAAGAGTTATTCCTTTGTGTTTTCAGGGCTGTAGGTTTTTGAAGGTACATTAATGGGGAAGAGAAAACGTGCAAGATCGGTTGAAAAACACCCCCTCTGCACCCACCCAGATCTTGTTGGGACCTGCAGGAGAGCAGCTCTGGGTGGCGTGGTCTGGGGCTGTTTGCTTTGCTGTGTCTCTAGGGGGCTGGGGCCGGGGCCGGGTGGTTTGAGGCCCTGCCCTTCTGGAGCGTGCCTGGACTTGTCTCCCTGTTATAGCTCTGCCACGCGATTCAGATCCTCTCTGCCTCCCTTGGCTGGACGTGCCTCAGCCAGAGTGAGACCGTGGCAGGCTGGAGCTGCTTTCAAGACCTCTTTGACCTGGGCTGTGCACACAGAAGGCCAAAGAAGGTCTAAGGAGACTTACTGGATGCTTCTTGGACAGGCAGAGCCCTGCAGTCAGCTGAAGCTATGAAGCTGAAGCAGTCATACAGAGTTCCTATTCTTGGGGCTTGCAGTGCCATGGGGTTGGGGTGGGTTGCACAGACAGACTTGGGAATGAGGAAACATCAATGGGGCAGAGCTGTAGTGGCCTCGGAGGAGCACTGTGGGACCTTTGAGGTGGGGCCAGGTTGGCAAATGCAAAGTGACAGCAGGGTGTGCTGGGACTGGGTTCCAGGTGGCAACATGGCCTTCCACCTTCTCCTTTGCCATGCGTGCTGCAGCCTAGTGATGTCTGTGGCACAGGTTTTAAAAAACTCAACTAATTGGTGCTTTTCCAGACCATAAACAAACTTTAAACCGGGGGTTATGGTGGGAGAATCTGGGAGGTCCCAGAGGACTTAAGTCCATTCTATGGCTCTTCAGATGCCTTTGTCCCTCTGTGTGCCTCTGTTCTGCTTTTGCCTTGTAGGAGGGTCCCTGTCATTCTTCTAGAGTCAGACAGCCCAAGTTCAAATCCTGAATCCATCCCTTTTTCAGATTTGTGATGTTGGTCAAGTAACTGACCTGTGAGCCTCAAATTCTCCATCTGTGAAAGTTGGGAAGGGTGCTAGTAGTGCCCACCTAAGAATTAGGGTGAAGCTGAAATTGATCATCCATGTAAATTGCTCAGCACGGGACCTGACAAGTCTGTGGCACGCATTAGCCATGCGTCATCTCCACCCTCATCATCGTTAGAGCCCAGGTGGCTCCCAGAGGGCACATCTCTGGGAAACTGGACCTGAGCACTTCTTCCCTTCCTCTCTGCAGACGATGGCGATGACTCGGAAGGAGGCCCCATGGAGAACCACGCAGACAGCGCCGTGACCATGTTGGGTGGGGTAGGTGGTGCTGGCCGGAAGCCCCTCAAGTCGGGTATGAAGGAGCTGGCTGTGTTGCGAGAGAAGGTCACTGAGCAGCACCGGCAGATGGGCAAGGGCAGCAAACATCACCTCGGTGCGGAGGAGCCCAAGATACTGCGACCGCCCCCTGCCAGGGTCAGTGAGGCTCAGGTCTGGTGGGAGGGGTGGGAGGATGTGAAAAAGGGGGTCTCAGCTGGAGGAGGGCATCCCAATAAGATCCTCGTCTGGTGTGACCTGTAGGCAGTGCACTTTTCTTTCCACAAACTGACCTTTGGGGCGATCAGTATCTCTGGCTGTGAAATAGACTGGACACGTGGTTTTTTGATGTTCTTTCCTTCGAAACCCTCCATATTTCCATATGGTTTTAGAACATAGGCAAAGAAAATGAATCCCAGAGATGAAGACAGATTCCCTGAAACTTGCTCACTCTTTTTCCCCCACTCCCTGAGATGGGGTCTTGCTCTCTTGTCCAGGCTGGAGTGTAGTGGTACTGAGTCATGGCTCACTGCTGCCTCCAACTCCTGGGCTCAAGTGATCCTTCTGCCTCCCTTGGGACTCCTGAGTGGCTGGGACTATAGGTGTGCACCACCATACCTGGCCAATTTGTTTTTTTTTTTTTTGAGATGGAGTTTTGCTTTTGTTGCCCAGGCTGGAGTGCAATGGCATGATCTCTCGGCTCACCGCAACCTCCGCCTCCTGAGTTCAAATGATTCTCCTGGCTCAGCCTCCCAAGTAGCTGGGATTACAGGCATGCACCACCACGCCTGGCTAATTTTGTATTTTTAGTAGAGATGAGGTTTCTCTATGTTGGTCAAGCTGGTCTCGAACTCCTGACCTCAGGTCATCTGCCCACTTCAAGCCTCCCAAAGTGCTGGGATTACAGGTGTGAACCACTGTGCCCGGCCCAATTTTGTTTTTTGTGTTTTGGAAATGGGGGGTCTCACTATGTTGCCCAGGCTGGTCTCAATCACCTGGACTCAAGTGATCCACCCACCTCAGCCTCCCAAAGTGCGGGGATTACAGGCACAAGCCACTGCGCCTGGCCTGAAACTTAGTCACTCTTGTTGCCATATACTTCTCTCACTGAGCTATCCCCCTCTTCTTTCCTGCCCAGCTCTGCCACCTTGGGTCCTGGCCCTGGTTGGTTTTATGGAAAGAAATGGAGCATGGGCCGTGGGGTGGGGGCATAGAGATTCTGGAGACAACCTCTTGGATTGGTATTTGGAGATAGAGCCCATTCTGACACATGAACGCCATGGTCACAGAGCAAGGAAGGGAGTGAACATTCCCATCCATACGGTTTTCTTAGGGTCTAGGGTTGGGGAGCCAGCATGGCAGGGAGATCCCTAGGTGGGGTGTCAGAAGTCCCTGTGCCACCTGTTGGCTATTACCATGGGAAAGTCCCCTCCCTGTGCAGCAGCTTCTCCCTGCACTTGGCATGTGGCGCGTGCTTTGTGGGCCTGCTATCCTGACTCCGGGCGTCCTCTGCTGTCTGTGCTCGCAGACCCCCTGCCAGCAGGAGCTGGACCAGGTCCTGGAGAGGATTTCCACCATGCGCGTTCCGGATGAGCGGGGCCCCCTGGAGCACCTGTACTCCCTGCACATCCCTAACTGTGACAGGAATGGCCTGTACAACCTCAAACAGGTAAGCATGGTGCCAGCCTGGGCCTGAGTGGCTGCTCCTCAGCCCTGAGCCCCAGATGTGCCCTGTTTCTGCCCCACCCGCCTATAATCTTCTGAGTTCTAGGCTGAGTAGGAAACCCAGACTTCTGTCACCAGGAGGATCGGGGTGCCAGCTGCCAGGCCAGGAAGGGTATGGCTTTTCTTCCTGCCTCCGACAGATCACATGCTGGCTCCATTCGCCCAGCCACCCACCAGCCACACTTGGTATCCAGGTTGAGAGGAGGCTCTTTTTTTTTTTGAGACAGAGTCTCACCCTGTCACCCAGGCTGCGGTGCAGTGGTGCGATCTCAGCTCACTGCAACCTCTGCCTCCCCATTAGCTGGGACTATAGGCGCACGACACCAAGCCCAGCTAATTTTTTGTATGTTTAGTAGAGACAGGGTTTTATCATGTTGGCCTTGAACTGGTCTTGAACTCCTGACTTTGGGATCCACCTGCCTCAGCCTCCCAAAGTGCTGGGATTACAGGCGGTTGGGCACATATTAGCCCATCCCTCACTTCCCCCGCCTCACTGTCCTGTGTGTCTGTGCCTTTCCTGTGAGACAGAGGAAGGAATGGGATTAATGAGGAGGTGCCAGCTACCATCCTGTTTTCAAGCATGAGTTCTCAGCTCTGGCTGCATACTGGGGTCTTCTGGGGAACTTAAAAAAATACAGAGATCAGGGTCCCACTCCAAGAGATTTAGATTTTGTGGGTCTGGGGTGCTTTCTGGTCATTGGGGTTTTATTTTTTTTACGGAATTTTTTTGAGATGGAGTGTCTCTCTGTTGCCCAGGCTGGAGTGCAATGGTGCAATCTCCGCTCACTGCAACCTCCGCCTCCCTGATTCAAGTATTTCTCCTGCCTCAGCCTACTTGAGTAGCTGGGATTACAGGTACCCACCACTACTACACCTGGCTAATTTTTGTATTTTTAGTAGAGACAGGGTTTTACCATGTTGGCCAGGCTGGTCTTGAACCCCTGACCTCAGGTGATCCGCCTGCCTCGACCTCCCACAGTGCTGGGATTACAGGCGTTTAGCCACCATACCTGGCTGGTCAGTGGGATTTTATAAAGCTCCCCTGGTGGCCCTAATGGCAGTCTGGGCTGACCTGAAGCATGGATGTTTGGAGCCGGGAGATGGGAACAGGGCTCTGCTGACAGCCCAGGGGTCTCACCTCTCCGCCGTCTTCACCATCCAGGCACCCTGATCCTCTAAATATGAGTTTAGCATTAAAAGCTATTTGTGGGCCAAGCGTGTTGGCTCGCGCCTGTAATCCCAGCACTTTGGGAGGCCGAGGAGGGCAGATCACAAGGTCAGGAGTTTGAGACCAGCCTGGCCAACATGGTGTAGCCCCGTCTCTACTAAAAATACAAAAAATTAGCCGGGTGTGGTGGTAGACACCTGTAACCCCAGCTACTTGGGAGGCTGAGGGAGGAGGACAATCACTTGAACCCTGGAGGCGGAGGTTGCAGTGAGCTGAGATCGTGCCACTGCACTCCCGCCTGGGTGACACAGTAAGACTCCGTTTAAAAAAACAAAAAAAGGCTATTTGTGTACATGCCCTCTAAATGTAAGCTGGCTACTCAGTCTGGAGCTCAGAATAAAAACTCGATCACTTCTCTTGGAAAACAGGCTGTCTGCTGCACTTTTGGGTACTAATGTAGGCATAGTTAGCTTGGGCGTAAGTATAGAGACCTTGAGCTGGAATGCCTGGGAGTGCCTGGCTTCCATCCCAGCTATGCTTCTTACCAGCTGCGTGACCTTGGGCGAGTTGCTTAGCCCATCTGTGCTTTAGTTTTATCATCTGTCAACCAGGGATAATAATGGCATCTAATTCACAAAGTGGTTGTGAGGATTAAATGACTGCATTTGTTAGAAACTGAACAAGCGGTGTCTTTTGCTCACACAGTGCCTGGCACATAACTGATTTTGATTGCAGCATGAGGTTTTTCACCTTACACTATGACTAAGCTTCAGTATGCTGGGTCACCACCCCCCCCCCACACTGGGTGGGGCCTCCTTGAGGCTGGGGACTGAGTCTTTTAATCTTCGAGGATCCTGAACGGCCTTATCAGAGAGGGCCTGGGTGGGCAACATCAGCATTACGTTGGAGCTTGCTAGCCATGCAGAATTGCCAGCTGTCCAGGGACCTGCTGAATAGGGATCTGCATTTTATCAAGGTTCCCTGGTGCATATTTGAACTTGAGAGGCTCCGCCCTGCAGTGTGTGGGTAGCTGCACTCCGTGGCCTCCAGGTGGAGGGAGGGAGGAAAGCTGCCGGCTGCGGGCTCCTCCACGCTCCTCTCCTTTCTTTCCAGTGCCAGATGTCTCTGAACGGGCAGCGCGGGGAGTGCTGGTGTGTGGACCCCAACACCGGGAAGAGGATCGAGGGCGCCCCCACCGTCCGTGGGGACCCCGAGTGTCATCGCTTCTACTATGAGCCTCAGGAGGCTGGCGGGGTGCCCACCCAGCAGGCACAGTAGACCGCAGCTAGCCGGTGCCTGGTTCCCCCACCCCCACCCCTCTCCAAGCACTGGCAGAAAACGGAGAGTGCTTGGGTGGTGGGTGCTGGAGGGCTTTCCAGTTCTGCCACGTGCATTTATACTTGGAAAGAGACCAGCACCGAGCTCGGCACCTGCCCCCTCTCTCTTCCTAGCCACAGATGCCACACCTGCCCCTTGTTGCTTCCCCCCTGCCCCAGGGAGGAAGGGAGTCATGGTGGGGGAGCTGGGGTTCAGGTTTGGGAAGGGGGGAGAGACACATTTTTATTTTTTAACCCCTATGTCTCTTTTGCTTATGAATAAAGGAAGGAAAAGTAAAGTGTGTGTCTTTTGTCTGAGTCTTTGGGGTCTAACAGGGAAAGATGAGGAGGTTGGCCTACCCACCAGCATCCAGCTTTGCCGTTGGCCCATAGGAAAATGGAAAAGGCCCTGCCTCGGTTTCCTGTTCATGAAATGGGAATAAGAAGGAATGGGAACCTCCTGAATCCAGATGAAACCTTCCAGTGTGGCCCCAGGACTCCCAGGCCCCAGGACTCCCAGGCGAGGCTTCTGCCCCCATGCGGCCCCTGCCTGGCCCTCTACAGGGGTGGGATGAGTCACACTGGGTGGAGGTCAGGGGAGACAAGGAGCAGGGGTCCGGCTTCCTCCCTCTCACATCCAGCTGACACTGCAGTGGGAGATAAGGCACAGGAAACGTTGGAATTGGGGTTGTCTGGCCCCTGAAATAAAGGAAGCTCCCTCCGGCCCAGGGTAAGACATTTCCACTCAGCCCCCAAAGGGACTGGGGCTGTGGTTCACTGGCTTATTCACAAAGGTGACACCACTGAGAGTTCAGGCGCTGCTCTCTAAGGGGCCCACGTGATTTGGTCTCCAGACCAGCAAATACCAACTGGAAACAGGGCTGTGCCGAGGAGCCCAGGCTGAGGGACTGTGGAAGGAGTCACAGAATGTGACCCTGTTTCCTTAGCAGAGTTCCACGTCGGAGCTCACCTGCATCCGCCACTCTGTTCTGCTGGCCTCTCAGCCCCAGTGAATTCCAGTAGGCTTACACACCCCCACCCCTGCCTTTGCAGTGGGCCATGGGGGGAGAAAGTGCAACATTTGAGGCCGGCTGTCCCTGCCCCCAACCTTCCTCAGCACGTGGCCCAGGGCCCAGGCCCAACCCACAACCCTCCAGACCTTCCATCTGGTAAGTGTGGAGAGGCAGAGGGATGGCGGGGCCTTTACCAGGTGTGACATAAGTGTAGCTGGAATGCGAGACAGCCCTCAGAAATGCCACGAGATGAGCTTTCTTGGAGCGCAGGAAAACCAGATCCCCAAGAATAGATGGAGCCCTGCCAAGAGGGTGTGTTCCAGGCTGTACCCAGCCAAGCCAGCACGTGGCTCTGCCCCGAATGAAGGTGTGCTCCTTCCGCCAATCCTTGTGCGTCCGTGAAACAGGCACTCTTGTTAGTTACACTTTACAGATGAGGAAAAGGTCCCTAGAAGGGCCCAAACTCCCCAGCCCTGGGCCTGGGGACCCCTAACTCCAGCCTGTGACAGCCACCCACCCCTGAGTTATACCGGGCCCGTGGGTGGAAGCAGGCGGAACGCTTTGGAGAGGGCCTAGAGCGCTCTGGGCACCGGATGGACCCGGGACCCGAAGTTCTGCAGCCCCCGTGCGGGGTCTGATTGGCTTTCCTTTGGCGCATGCGTGATGCCGCCGGCCCGTCCCCCTGTCCTCTCCAGCACCGGAGCTGCTGTTCCCGGGTGGAGCTGCTCTTCCCGGGTGGAGCAGCCCACGCCTGGTCTCCTGGGAAGCCGGGTGGTTCTCAACCGTGGTGAACGTTTGACTTGACGGGGGCACTTGAAAAAGCAAACAAAAAACAAAAAACTGATGCCAGTGCCTCAGCTTCAGATATTCTGTTTGTTTTTGAAAATGAAGTGATTTTTAATTTTTAAATAAAAGACTCTAAATGATTTTCAGCATATATTACAAGTTTAGTTTTAAAATAGACTTAAATTTATAACAGGTCTTACACTGACTTCAATACATAGGCACCCCAGAGCACAATGTGCAGGTGTGACAATCACATGCTGACCTCTTAATATTCCAAGGGGACCAAGATCTTTTTCAAACACAGAAAGAAATTGGGCTTTGTATAATGCTAACCCCTAAGAGCGATTCTCCTTTATAAACTAAAATATTATTGTCCGTTTCATATACTTTTGCTTTATAAAGAACTCCCACAGGAAAAACTTTCTGGAGGTTGTCCCAGATATAAACAGCTACATTTTCAGTCGTGCTCACCGCATCGCAAAGTATGGCACATCCATATTCAGATTCTCATGATCAAAGGGCTGCATAATCACCTCCTCCATATATTTTTTGAGATCAGCCAAATTCATAACCATTCCCTTAGCAGGGTCAGTCTCTCTATGTATTGTCACTACAACTTTGTAATTGTGCCCATGGCCATTTGGATTGCTGCATTTTCCCAACAGTTTCAAGTTTTCTTCATTACTTAGAAATTTACTGTGCAGCCGGCGGCTCGCGCTGAAGGAGATGCGCAGGACACTTGCGCCGCCGCCAGCTTCAGACATTCTGATGTAACTGGCCTGCCGTGGAGCCCAGGCAGGGTCTTTTTCCTTTCTTAGGTTCCAAGGTAATTGTGGACCAGGGATAAGGCAAGAAGAATGCCGGAGTCAGGAGGTCTGGGCTTGGATCCGTTCCCACCATGTCGTTTTCCATTGCCTGAGGCTAGGCCATCATCTTCTCTGAGCCTGTTTTTCTCATCTGTCTATCGGGGATAATATCAGCCTCAGATAACAGGGTGGTATCAGTGTGAGACTGGATGCGAAGGTGCTTTGAAAACTATAGGACTGTATAAAACGGGAGGGGTTACTATGGGGCCCTTGTTGGGTCAGCTGTTTGCCAGACCTCATGCCCCAGGCTTGCCACGTTGTCCATTCCATTCTTTGAACTTTTACAGAGGGCTTTCGAGGATGCCACAACCTCCCTGCCCATTTCCCCTCCATTACCCTTAGTGCTCTTATACCCAACCCTCTGAAGGAGGTGGCTTTTTTTTTTTTTTGAGACGGAGTTTCGCTCTTGTTGCCCAGGCTGGAGTACAGGGGCATCATCTCGGTTCCCTGCAACCTCTGCCTCCTGGGTTCAAGCAATTCTCCTGCCTCAGCCACCCGAGTAGCTGAGATTACAAGCATGTGCCACCAGGCCCAGCTAATGTTTTTGGTATTTTCAGTAGAGATGAGGTTTCTCCATGTTGGTCAGGCTGGTCTTGAACTCCCGATCTCAGGTGATCCGCCTGCCTTGGCCTCCCAAAGTGCTGGGATTAGATGCGTGGGCCACCACGCCCGACTGAAGAGGTGGCTTTTATGGATGAGTGGGTGAGCAGCACCTCTGCTGCGGCTCTAGCTACAGGAACCACACGAATTGCTGTGCAGTGCAACCTAGAAACATTCGCCGAGAGGAAGCATCAATGCATCCATATGGGAAGACGGCTGGCTGGGCAGGGATTGTGCAGTTGTCAGGCACATCCTTCACCTGGAACGAATTGCCTCTTTAAAGGTTAAGCAAATACAGGGCCTATACTGCCACTCTGTGGCAGCACGCGGAACTGCAGCTGAGCATGCATTGGGCCTTGACTTGGGGCTGTTGCACTGAAGAGGAGTGGGCCAGAAAGACTCAGTTGGAGACCTTGTTACCACTGGCCCTATCCCAGAACCTCTGAGTTAGAAACTCGGCGAGGGGCCTGGGAGTCTGCACGGAAACTTGCTTCCTGTGTGGTTCTTATGGAGGACTGGTTGACTTTATTTATAGGACACAGGGCAAAATAAAAATATGGAGTCTCTTATTCAGAAATGATTAGGAATGTCAATACATTAATAGCGGAACATCAAACCAAGCGCCAGCCCTGTGTGAACGCATGGGTCATGCCCACGGACTACGCCTCTTCTTATGCCCTCTGTGTTTGGACAGCCCCGACTGTCATCCCCGAATCTGTTCATTGTGTCTTGAATACTAGCTACATAGTAAGATGTGGTGGCTAAAAGTGTGAGCGTGGAGGTGAGGTAGCCTTTGAACAGAATCTGGACTCTCTTGAGTTATGTGCTTTTGGGCGTATTTCTAACCTCTGTGAATCTCATTTATGGGATAATTTCTGTCTCAAAGACTTGCTTTGAGAATATAAAATCATTTCTGTCACGTAGTAAGTGCTGCCTAAATGTAGCTCTCAGCCAGGCGCAGTGGCTTACGCCTGTAATCCCAGCACTTTGGGAGGTCACGGCTGGTCAGGAGTTCAAGACCAGCCTGGCCAACATGGTGAAACCACGTCTCTACTAAAAATACAAAAATTAGCTGGACGCGGGGGTGGGTGCCTGTAATCCCAGCTACTCGGGAGACTGAGGCAGATGAATCACTTAAGCCTGGGAGGTGGAGGTTGTAGTGAGCTGAGGTCATGCCATTGCACTCCAGCCTGGGTGACAGAGTGAGACTCCATCTCAAA